TGAGCTTCTGCGCGACTTGGCTATCACAAGTACGCATCCAACCCTGCCATTTTTGATACCGAACAGAATATAGCTAATGAGCTGTAGTCTCTCGTCGTGGCGTTGTTTTCTTCCGCGCCCAAGCTGACCTGACCGATGAGCTTCAGAAGGAGTTGGCGCACCGTCTAGGGGTTCTCTCAGGCAAACCCGACGACTGCAGACTGCACATCCACCCCCTGACCAAGCACAACCTCGACAAGGACCCAGAACTCAACGTCATCACCACCGACAAGGCCGCGAACCCGGCAGAGGACCTGTGGAAAAACAGACCGGCCGACATCAGAAACGCCTGGCATACAGACACCGGCTACGAGCCGAATCCCGCCGACTACTCGATCTTGAAGCTCGTCAAGCTCCCGGAAACCGGCGGAGGTATGCAGGCTTGTCGCAAGCTCTCCTGTCCCATCCAGTCCGACACTGACCGTTGCCATATATAGACACAATCTGGGGCTCCGCCTGCGAAATCTACGACAAAATCTCCCCCGCCTACCGCAGCTTCCTCGAGGGCCTAACTGCCACCTTCGCCCAGGCCAGACTCCCAATCTCCGCTGCTGCCAAGGGATTCGAGCTGTACGCAGAGCCCCGCGGGTCGCCAAACAACGTTGGTACTTCCCTCCGCGCCGTGCACCCCGTCGTGCGCACCAACCCCGTCACCGGGTGGAAGAGCCTGTTCGCGGTGGGCAACCACGTCGAGCGGATCAACGAGTTGACACCCGATGAAAGTAGGCGGCTACACGACTGGTTCCTGCAGATGATTGTGGAAGAGCATGATACGCAATTGAGGCATCGGTGGGAGAATCAGTATGATATCGGTTAGTAACCCATCCACCCTCCCATCCCGTACGGTCCGGTTTAGTTAGTTTGTATTTGATGCATCCGATAATAATCATCGCGGTCGCAGCCATCTGGGATAACCGCACTGTTTACCACTCGGCCATTTTCGACTTCGCTGGATTGGGCTGTCGTACGGGTCATCGGGCAGTGAGCATCGGCGAGAGACCGTACTTCGACCCGAACAGCAAGACCCGCCGCGAAGCACTTGCTGAGGAGGGGGTGATGTTCTAAGCGTAGCTGGGTAGCAATTTTTCTTTCTTGTAGGATGCTCGTTGTCGTTGTCGTTTTGCGTCTGAATCTGAGTCTATCGAGAGAAACAAAACCTGTCTCAACGTGCAAACTGGCCGTATACTGTAGTATGATCCGGAACTCATTCGCCGGGTATACTTCCTCTCCTGAGACCAATTGGGAGCAAAATAATGTCTTGGAAGACAGCTTGGCTTTTGCCTCTACCGTAACTCGCCACTGCCATGGTGATTATATAGTATTAGGCGACTTAGGCCTGTGGTGCATACTTGCCGGCGTGAAGGTTTTTCGCTTTATGTATATTGTACTCTTGGTACATACAATCTCGCTCGCCGAAAATCAAACCGCTCCTGACGCAACCTGATCACGATCCTCAGGATGGAAACACAACGCTCTCACCTCAATACTCTCTCTCGGGGCCTCATGTTCCGTCTCTGGGTTAACAAAAGAACCATGCGGCACCCGGCGCGCCCTCCCATCAACCTTGGAGTCATAAAACTTGATAAAAGTGACCATATTCGGAGGCTGCTTGTAGCGATAGTACCACTTGATATCCGGATTCGGCTTCACGGACCACGCCCCACCCACCCAGCCACCCTCTTGCTCAGGGTAAATAAATGGGATAGGGGAAAGGTCACTTTCGGAGCAGGATTTCGAATCCGCTACCGCTAGCGGGTGCTTCAGGATCGTACGGATCGGACGCCAGACGCTGATCATCTGGTAGCGGGCCTTGAGGAGCTCCGGGGCCTCGTCGGGGAACAGGTGGACGACTCTGGCGTCCGCTCCTGCATAGTTGGCATCGATGTGCATGGTATGGACGGGCCCACGGGGCTGGCTCCCGCTCGTCGTCCAGTCTTTGGGAGCTCGGCGGATGGTGTGGTCGAAGATGAAGATCCGAGAAGCACCCGTGCTGCGCTGGCTGGTTAATCTGCTGTGCTGCTTCTATATTCACTCCCGGTTCGCGTGTTTTGTTCTACTTACACGTCTTTGAGCAGTTGCTCTATCTCTGGGTAGTATTCTGCTCGGATCTCCTCGTCGTCGAGGAAGTCCTTCAGCCTGCTCTCGTGGTAGTGGAATTGGAATCCATGGCTGTCAAGGGTGTAGTCACGCTCATGGCCGCTAACATCGTGGATAGTGGCGGGAATGGAGATCAGAGGTCTGTCAACTGTTTCTGGCTTCCCAATCCATATTGGGGGGTGGGGAGAACCATCTTCTCTCTCTTTGTTAAAAGTGAGTGTAGTCTGAACATGGTGAGGCTTCTCGAGGACGTTTGGCTTTTCTGCCAGCAGAGAGCCATGGGGGGAGGGGGGAAGAGTAGCGGCTGAGGCCATGTGCAAAGTAGATCGGCCGAGATTGTAATATGACTCTGGTTTTCTTGAGCTGGGGGAGAGGAGGGGGAACACGCCGGAGTTAGGCAGCATATATATATATGTTGCGGTGTAACTAGATTGTCCTCTAGGGAAGCTCGATTTGTCAAGAGACGGGCGATCACACGATGAATGAGATGGCCCAGCCCGAGAGAAATATGGGTCACGGTAGCCCATGCATCCTGGTCACAGGGGTTGTGAGAGGAATGTCGATAATCAATCGAAAGCCACGATTCCTCTTCTTCGAGATTGGGCGTTACATCTCCTAATAAATACTGTATGCACCTCCAGTGAGCTGAGTGGCGCGACTGAATGAACCATCCTCCACCTTAATTTTGGCAGATGGGGAGGTGCTTACTGACTTCCAATATATATCCGTGAAAAGCCTATTGGAGCAAATTGAGAGATGACCAGAGTGAGAGGCGTCGTAAACATCAGGGAGCAGGGAACTCGGGAACTGGGAAGAGAATGGGGGCAGGCCTGTCGATGCTGTTGGCCACACTACAGCAATCGAGATCTGGACAGCCGACTCCCTCAGATTCCTCTCGTTCCAGATTACATGCCACCCAAAGTAATTAATGAACACACCAAATGGGGCGCTCAGTAAGAAAGCCGCGGTTGGAGACAGAGGGGTGTCTACCAGACTAACACTCATTCATGCGGCCCTAGAAAAAGGAAGCTGGAGAGAAGAATGTACCCTTGTCCCCATCTACAGCGAACAGGGGAACAGGGAACCAAAATAGCAGTGCTCTGAGTGGGTTGCGACAATCGCCAGCACCTATGTAATGGCAAACCCTGATACTGACAACACCACAACGGCTATTCTCTGCCAGATGTCCGAGAAAGCCTTCATCAAGGCATCGGTAGCTACTCCATTCCCATTCTCATACTGGTAGTGGTCCTCCGGACGAGAGGGCAACAGAGTCCCTGTCCCTTCCTCTGAGCACCTACACATTGGCTGTTGTGGCCTGGCCAGTCACAGCGCTATCTTTCGCCTGGCAGGAATCGTACTGGCGAGCACTGACAGAATCCCCAGTCCCCGCGTCACGATAGGCGGAACCTCGGGCGATGATTTCATGGCTCATCTGCTTCATATCCATTGAGCCTCATCTATAACCCGGCTGGTTGGTAATGTAAGCGGCGGAGTCGTATCGGCTAGGTATAGGTCGGCGCTGCTTCGGAAGGGCTAGCGACGATCAGGATGTCACACTACAGGGTTCGTACGAATTAGGAGGGGAGGCCAATTGCCAAATCGATCAGAATGAATCGCTTGAGGTCTTCTAGGTCAAGCGATTCCTGTGGCGCCTTCGCTGCCTTATCGCTGCCCTGTTGGTAAAGCAGCCGCCGTGACAGGTAGATTAGTTGGTTAGAGTGCTCGTCATAATATCGTCATCATCAGTCGCTATGCCAAAATGCGAAGACGCCAGCATCTCGCCCTTGGGGTAGCCTTCTAGGGCTCAAGACAAACACCCTAAATTCTATTAGTAAACCCGACCGTTATCTCTACCCCTGTTAGTCCGTGACAAGCACGACGTTATAATGGACGCAATGAGACAGAAAGCGCTCGTCAAAAGAAATGGCAGACCAAGCCAATGCCCCCCCAGAACCATTCCCCAGTGAAAAGAACCCGCGAAGAAAGGACCGGTTAACAACCCCCCCACTCCCTGCGCCATGGAAATTGCTGTGTATAAGCTTCCAACAGAAGTAGGGGGCACTAGGGACGTGGCCATGCTGCGCAAAGTTACAGGTGATGCTGAACCTAGCGCATTAATTATAAGGCCAAAGATCACGCCGATGGGATGGCTGGATATGCCCAGGACAAAGCAACCCACAACGAGAAGCCAGCAACTTATCTCTGATAGTAGCGAGTCTTTCTCACCAGTGCTGAGTTTGGTCCGGCGTTCAAGGTATGTATCCAAAAGCGGCATCAACACAGTCGTAAGAAGCAACTGGCAAATATCACCTAAGGTAAACACAAGACTTGCCTGGAGCACATTTAGAAGATCCATCAGTCTCCAGATACATTATGTATCGTCGTGTCACCAACTGCACTTACTGTACTGTAGTCCCATCTGAATCTTTTTGATGTGTACTGCAAAAGCGCCGACTTGGACTCAGTGCTTAAGCGCACAAGAAGAAACACAACGAGGAGGAGTATGATCACTGGATTTGTCCAGATGGCTCGAATAGACGCGGTGAGTTTTCGAAATGATGCGCGCGTCGCCCCCATTGCAGGCCGACTAGACAAGGATCTCATTTCCCTGTCCTCGCCAGAATACTTGTCAACCATCGAAAGTGTTTCCGGTATCGTCATCATAGTCAATATGGAGAGTATCAGGAGGAAAGACGACAGTATTAGAGGGTCCCATGAGCTCCGTCTCATCAACACAGCACCACCGGCGCCACCCAAGATAAAGGCCATCAAATCGATGGCCGTGAGCCACATGAGCCATCGGGTTCTATAAAACGCATGAGCACAAATAGAGTAAAAGAGCTTTGTGTTTGAAGTGGTCGTTACCGTTCCGCTCGAGGGACGACGTCCGCGATGATAGTATATGTGAGAAGGGTGCCAACAGCGCGACCACCGCCGATGACTTGAATGATGGGCGCCGCCCAGACCATACGAATAGGAAGGCTATCAGGGAATAGGTCTTTCAGAGAGTTGATAAGTGAGTGTCAGAGTTGGGCTTCCGGCGTCTATTCCCTCCAGCTATCTTGGGGGGAATGAACTCACAAACGATTTTGACCCAGGTATCGCTGAGGAGTACCCCAAGAAAGGATAGCATGAACACAGGCTTGCGACCGTATTTATCAGCCAAAATTCCATACGGAAGCGCAAGGAAAATTCCTACAGGCCATGTCTGTGAGTCGAGTTCGAGAGCATTGATATATATACTGCGATTTGTGCAGCATCCTACCTGGAATCTGTATGAGGGAGTCTCCCCATCCTTGCACCAACGCCAGTTCGCTTTGGACCGCCTCTCTCTTACAGTCAAGGGGCTGGTTGGTGAGATCTCGTTCCGGGTCATGGAGGTGTCTGCAGATGATGTTCTCGACGATATCTGTTTGGGGCGCCGCGATCACGGCCATAGCGAGCAAGAACTGGAAAGACACAGCATACACCCGCAGAATTATTTGAATGCGATACTGTCGTGTAGCCTTTTGGTCTTCGTATTCTGGTGGAATTAGCGGGGTTTCCACCTCCCGCTCGGTTCCGGGGGACATCATGCATAGAATGGTTTGTTTCTAGTATTTGGGTCTTTCTCTCTTTTGATGATGGGATTCGACTGGGCTTTAAGGAAGGGGGGGTAGCAGCTTTACACACTTTGCAGCTTCATAAGCAGGGTATCACGAAACAAATCGCCCGCACGAGTGCCCAGTGCGGTGTGTCAGGATCCAGATTAGGATCCAGATGATTTGCCAGCCTAACCAGGGATATGCAACCCATCATTCCATCTCTGTGCTGGTTCCATCAAAGCCCCGCGATCATGCAGATGGTGCGCATGGGGCCAAGGACGCCAGTACAACGGCTGTCAGAGTATGATCAAATCAACGGTTGACCCGGCCCATCCTGTGGAGTTTTGTAACCGAATGCGGTCATGGAAAATAATACCGTGGAGTGTTGGTTGGCGCGTGACAAGGAGTACTGAATGCATCTCACCTCACGACCTCCGCGATGTACAGGTAGTCTGTGGAAGGATATATACACAGGGCAAGGGCTCAGGAAGTGCACCAAGTATGCATTCTTTATTTATCTTGGTTAAATTTGCGGGAATGACTTTGTTCCTGAATCACACACAATATTTGCAGGACCTGCTGGATGATCAGGCTGTTCAACTGAGCTGTACAGCCCTCGCGAAGTTGTGTCCAAATTGGACACCAGTTAGGATCACGTGACATTGTACTAATCAATGTAGTAATCCTATGTCACATGACCTGGCTTCCTATCACACCCACGCTGCGGCCTCAGTTAGACCCCTTTAGTAATTTCTTACTGTCTAAACCTAGGTTATAGGTTGAATTAGCTTCTAGCCTATGATATTAGAAATCGCTCCTTAAAAAGCCAGCCAGATAGAACCAGCGGGAGCCAGTTACACTAGTGAGATTAGCTAGACTAGCAAGAAATAGCCAAACCATGGTCCGTAGTAGCTAAATATATAGAGTATAATAGGAAGTTAGGTTATATAATATAAGCTTACTATATTGATTAGTATAGTATCACATAACCAAATAGCTAGTGTATAATCTAGAAATGACTTTGTGAGGGCTGTACAGCTCAGTTAAACAGCCTCAGCATCCAGCAGGCCCTGCCCGCTACAAATTGCCCTGCCTGTCAGAACAGTAATGTAGACGAATGTTACCATATGCAGGGTAACAAATCTGGTCAGCAACTTAGCTAATAGGCACCAGTGCTTATATATTGCGGCCTTACGCGGATTGTGCCTCGACGAGTTGGTGATGACCTGAAAATCTATATATCCGGCCCTGATCCTTTGTGTTCCCGCCCATTTACGGTGCGCACTGCTCTTCTGCCCACACTATGATACCGCATGACAGAGTTACCCATCATCCACTGGGAGGTGGGTCATATTATTTCAAGGAGAACCTCCTCAGTTACCTGAATAACCGATGCCCTCAACCGGTAGTGGCCTTGCATGTCGGGTCACAGCCGAACTGCAGCCCGCATGTGGGTAATATAACTACGTTTGCTACGTGTTTTGCGCTCGCGGCAGCCCTGCAGAGAAGGTTTGATCGCAACGTTAGGATTAAATTCATTTTCGTGGACAGCGCACCGTCTCCGGGGCAGGAGTTCCTCATTAACGACGTGAAGTACCAGAAAAGCCTAAAGCAAACAGGGGACATTCAAACTTATCAGATGGCATTCGTCAAAGTTCTAAGTCGCTTGTCTGAGCTTTCCGGGGTAGTGTATGAGTTTGATACGCAGAGTTTCTGGCGTTCAAATCCTGCCTTTCCCAACGTCCTTCAGAGTCTCGTCCAACGTTACAGAAGTCTTGGACCCCATATGTCACCGGAGACAGGCAAGTTGGCGATTCGAGCGCCATGCCCCCACAAAGATTGCGGACTAGCAGACAAACACGGCATCAACAATCAGTATCATGCTGACGGTCGAATCACTTTCGTATGTCCTGACCATGGAGAGCATCATATAGACCTAACATCACCTCACGAACTCGAGCGGCTCGAGTTCAACACACCACTCCGCAACCTGATAAGGATTCTCCTCTGCAGCCTTGATACGGACACCTCGTGGATAATGTGTACTGGATCAGACTACTCGGGTTTCTATCAGGAGCAGCTGACTTGGCGGCTGCTGGAGCATCCTGAAAATGCTCCAGTCATCTTCTATACTCCTTTGATACTCGATTGGTCCGGAGCCAAATTGTCGAAAAGCCTGTATATCCGAGAAAATGGGTACAAATACTTAATCGATGCCGGCCGTCGGTACTTGCTGGATGCTGACACATTTCTGAAGACCCAGGGGGGAATCGAGGCTCTTTTTGAGGAAGCACAAGACTGGGTCGATAAACCGTACAAGCTCTTCCGGAACTACACTGTCGATTACATAGACATGCAGCTGATATCAAGGGGAATGCGCCTACTTAGCCACCCAAATTAGTTCAGCAATACCTATAATGTAAGCATCCCAAAATCCCAACGCCAGAAAGCACCGATTAATGCTCGAGATACAAGCCCACAGAACCCAGGTCTCCCGCCTCCCTACTAACTATCCGAACCCAAAGGCGTGAAGAAATCAGATATTTTACTTCTCCCAGCTGCACTCGGCGTATCGCCAGACATGTCCGGTCCAGATCTATCTCTCCCTTCAAGAGGGGTTTCTTGAACTTCTCTACAAAACAAATGATCCTGTCTCGGAAGAGAATAACTCGCGAGTAGCGCAACAGGGGCCCAGCAGTACTTCTGCGGAGGACCCTTTAGGAAGCCGCTGGATATAGCCGACGCGAGACTGATGGGTTCGCGTAATTTCCATAGTTCTAGAATTTCGTACGCGTATTTTGAGACTTTTCTCCCCGCATTAAAGTCCGCATTGCCGATTCCACCGTCTTCGGCAACTTCGCCGCGCGTTTTGCCGCGCGAGATGCGCGCAACGTACTCAATTCGCGAGATGGGTGCTGTTGTGTAGAGCCAAAGACGTCGGACGCTAGAAGGGAGGAGATAGCCGCGGTACTCGTGATTCTTCCTGCCTGCAGCGATGTTGCTCATATGCTCCGGCTTGATGCTCATAAGTATATCTTCCTTGCTGGTACGAGTGGCGCGCATCTTTGAGGACGATGGTCGTTCCCTGGCCATTTTAAATGAGATGTGGAGACGGGGGAGTTAGCACGTTGTTTGGTGTGGTAATTTTTGTTTACTTAGGTAGGTTTCTTGGCCTTCTCGTCCACTTCTGGGTGAGGTAGGGATTGGGGTTGTAATACTAATATGATAAGTGTTGGAAACGGAGGAGGACGTTCAATTTCTGAGAGGAAGTCTGACTGGCACTTTTCATGTGCTCCTCCTTTGTTTTGAACTTTCCAGATAAGGCTAACAGTGTAACACAAAATTCGCGTCTCTGCATGGTTAATTTCCCCGTTTCCGGTTAATTACCTGGGCGGCTGTTCAGGTGATGGTGGTTCAGCTTTAGTGTTCCTATTGGGTATAGTGCCTCCCTGTCGAAGTAAATCAGTCACCCCAGCGCTGCTTCATGTCTCTTTGCAACTTCCCTGGCTGAAAAATACTATGAATGTAGGCTTGCGAGGCTTATGCAGCACAGAGTAGTCACTGATGCAATTCTAGTTATCTTCAGCTTAAATATTTACAGTGGGAACATAAAAGAACGAGGCGAAAACATTAACAAAGCACCATCTTGTGCAGATGCTCTATTCTGCCAAGGGCTACCAACCCAGTTCCTCCCGGCTTGAAGTTCTATAACTAAGATTAATATGGGACATGGACAGAGCAGGGCGGGGAGAGAGATATCTTGCCCGTAAGGAAGTGTGGGGCACCACAGATAATCAGGCGTCAAGGCGTTTTTCTTAGAAAGGGACACTATACCGTTCTAGAATAGCCTTGGTTGACAGCTGTACAATGCGACCTGCACCTTCTCTATTTATAGAGTCTGATCCCAGGGGCATGTGGGAAATCTGGGAAAATCCCTCTGGAGATATCACTGAGACTCGGTCGTTTCATAAGCAGGAGGTCGGCGCTTGCCTGTCCAGCAGTAAGACGGAGAGTAAATCTTGCTGAGATATGTGGCTTCAGTTAGGGCTAGATATGCTTTTAGAGATGTATGCACGATTTCAGGGTATACTCTATAGATCCTGCCTGGACATGACACCGCTGCACTTCTCTCAAAAATTTGAATGCAGTAAAGACCAGAAATTCCAAGTATTTTGTCTGAAATCTAAACATCCATGAAGGTCTGACTCGAACGAGTGTGCCTCTAGGCGATCTATATACCCTAGGTGGGAAAGACGAAAGCATTTGCATCCTTAGCATACGCAATCCAACGCGTAATGTAGTAGATCAATCTTATATTAGGATATAACCAATATCTCACCGACTTGCTGAAAAGTTGATCAAACGACAATATAGAAGGTTTATCGAACAAGGGAAATTTCCTATTCGCATAACTTGATCGGACGACCTGCCAAGCGTTGTCAGCCAACAAAATTGCCAGCTCTGTGCTTATCTTTCTCGTCACTTCTAGTATATTCGAGAGCTCTATTCGAATAGTTTCCACCAATATGTGTCATACTAGGCAAGGATCATTTTCTAGATAACTACCCCGCAATGTCAGCCTTGCCTGATCAAAGTTACAAAGTCGTCTTGTCACTGGAATATCATCGAGATTGAACCAGTGATTCTCCTTGTTTTTTCATCCTCCATCAAACACTACACCCGCCGCTGTGCCCGCATCAAGACCATGTCCGCCCCCAACGTTGTGACCGGCAGCTGTCTCTGCCAGACAGTCCGCTACCAAGTGACCGGCGCCCCCAAAACAACAGTCATCTGCCACTGCGACAGTTGTCGCAAAGGCACGGGATCTGCCTTCATGGCAAACAGCCTCTACCTGAGAGATGTACGTGTTACACCCTCCGCTCAGGAATACCTAGCTAATCCATCTATAGCAACTACAGGTACTCACAGGACAAGATGCTCTGAGAGTCTACTACGACAACAGCACGGGATCGGGGAAACCGTTGTCGAAATCGTTTTGCTCCAACTGTGGCTCGTCCTTGTTTGTCAGCAGCGAGTCCATAGACCCTAGTACGGTGGCGATCACCTCCGGGACCATGGATTTAGGGCCGTCGAAGGGCGAGTGGGAGCCTAAGATGGAATTCTTCTGTGCGAGGCGGAGAGAGTGGCTTGCACCTGTCGAGGGGACAGCGAAGCATGATACTATGATGTAGCTATTCTTCGACAAATGGTTCATTGCAGTGGATCTTGCATAGCAGACGCACTACCAGAGATCAAAGATCAGGTTCGTCCGGGTCCGGCCACGGAAATGGATTGAGATAATTGGGGAAGGGTGACTTGCAACCGTCGCTGAGCGTGGACTTGATCATCAGCCAGCTGTCATAACTGAAGCTACCTCCTGCAGCTGCAAACAAAGTCATGATAGACTCACTATTCTTTTTTTCATTTTGGTCCATTTAACCTGCGCCAGCCTCGGTAGTTGGCCGCGCGAAGCAGCGTGAGCAAGGCCAAGCAGGCTCTCCTCCAGGCGAGGGAGCTCATCAGTGATATGGCTAGCTAGTGATGTGATGCCAGGAGGAAGTAGTCCGCCCGAGAGTTGCACGAAGGATGGCTTCGAGCTGCAGTTGGGGCGAACCATCTCTCGCATTTTCTGTTGTTCTGGTGTCTGAAGGACATTCTGCTGCAGAGTTTCGCGCCGGCCTTCCGCTCGCGCGTTGTGAACGTCTCCTCGATGGGGCATCAATGCGCCTGTTCAGCTGAATAATATAAATTTCGAGGGGAATTATAATTGCTGGCTGGCGTATGGGTCTAGCAAGACGGCGAACATTTACATGACGAACCAGATTGAGCGTTGTATGGGTCGCAGGGTCTGCATGGGTATAGTGTCCATCCTGGTGCGTTTGTCAGTCCGAAACTGCAGAAGCACTCGCAGGCGGAGCGCAGGCGGGGTGAATGATGAGAAGATGCGCAAGTATCTGTCTAGCATGAGACAAATGTGTGCGACTTCCGTTTACGGTGCGGTATGCCTGGAGTTGGTGGGCCGGGGGGGATTGTATCTGGAGGGGGCGTCCGTTGCAGTGCATCCTTGTCCTCCTGATGGAGACGCTGCCGAGTATGGCTATGGCAGTTGGAGGTTTGACAAGGAGAAGGAAGAAAGGCTGTGGCATTGAGCAAGCAGTGGGCTAAGGTAGAGTAGGTCGGCGGAGTTGACAGAGTTATTCCAGTAGTCTACTGTTTTACGGTTCGTCGAACGATATTGCCCATGGCTTCATCCTGGAAATTGCTCACCCTTTCATATGCTATGACAAAAGTCAGTTTTTGGTGTGATTGACTTCCAGTCGGCTTTCAACGACGAGATGGCATCCTGATCGATTCGTCGGATACGCTCGTTTACAAGACCTTCCCGTCAATGCCTGTCCAACGTGGTGCTGGGTAATTTGTTGGAGGTAAGTCTGTAGCCTGAGTCGTTGGGCGACGTACGTGATAACATGAATATTTGTGTGATTTTATCCTGTTTGCTGCTATTCAGTCAAGTCGTTTTCCATTGAGTTGACAATGCTGCACTGCTGCTAAGTAGACAGATCGCAACAACAGCGTGAATGCACTTATATTATCAAGACTGATACTCGAATCCATGCCTAGAGCAAAGCAGGGGGGCTATTAGAATTGACAGTACGGATGACGATGCTACCCTCTATCACGAAAAAACCACTGCCTCTTGGCATCCTCCTCGGACATGCGCTCCATCTTGCTCTCCACAAACCGGCGGTACAACTTGTCATGCCTCGCCCGAATCTCCTCAAAGTCCACCCCGGAGGGCACCCACCCACCGTCATTGGACCGGAGGAGCTGGTGCGTATTCTCGCGCAGCTTCAGCCAGCCCTCGTACTCGGCCATCTGGCGCTCATGCGCCGCCACCTCCGCCGCGGTGAACCGGTACGGACACTCCTGAGCGACCTGCAGATGCGCCCAATTCTGTGAGAGCTTGAGCAGGCAGTCGCGCACCGGGAGGATGCCGTCGCGGTAGGTGAAGGGGCAGGAGATGAAGAGGCGGCGGATGGCGGCGTCCGGCTCGGTGAGGGCGAGGTACGATTCCAGACGGGACTTGAGGAGCGCGGCCTCGTAGCATTTGGCGCGCAGGGCCTCGCCCTGCGCTTGTTGCGTGTCGTCCTTGTCGGTCGGGGGGAGTTCCGGGTTGGGGGTGCCTGGTTGGTAGCCTTCCGGCGGAGCGAGGAACAGCGGCCAGCGGACCTGGGTGAAGCGCGGGAGAATGCAGGTGAATTGCCAGTCGATAACGCCCACGATGACGGTGGGGTCGTCGGCGGAGACGAAGATGTTGCCTGGGTGGAAGTCGGGGTGGCTGAGGACTGGCTCGGTGTGGCGGCGGATTGGGCCGGCTTCCGTGAGAATGGGCATCACCTGGAGGACTGTCTCGAGGACGCGGATATGTTCCTCGGGTGTGCCGTAGTGAGGGCCCCGGCCAGCGTAGGAGGTTTTGTAGTTTCGTACTTGGCAGATGCCCTGGTGGACGAGATCGCGGCCCAGCTCGGCCAGAGTCCTCCCTATCGGGGCTGTCAGTATACTATTTCAGCACGGCAGACATAAGACGTAGGACGTACATGGTCCCGAGTACTTTGCATAGTCGTCTGGGTCCGCTGCGAATCCCCCCGGCCAGGAGCCGTGGTACATCGGGCCCAGACAGTACGTCTCGTCGACGTCGATGGTGCGGCCGGGTTGTTTCAGGGCCGGGGGCAGGGCGTTTCGCAGGTACAGGGCCCCGTAGCCGGGGAACTTGTTGGCTGCCAGCTGGCTTTCGAGCCAGGCAAAGTTGCGGATCAGCTTCACGCGGTCGTGTTCGGCCAGGTGGTCCCACACCTTGGTGAGCTGCTGGCCGACGCTCGGCTCCAGGACGATATACTCCGAATGAACGGGGTTGGCGTCGTCCGCGCACCACGCGAGGACGTCCGACACCGGAGTGGTCGAGTGCGATTTGACTGCTCGGTCAGCTCTGCACCGTCTGTCTCATCGAGAGGACGCTTACCGAACTCCAAGACCGCCACCTCAGATGCGGTCCCGTACCATCGAGGCACGATATTCCGACAGGGGATCTTCGCCAGGATCTTGGTCCCGTTCTCCGCGGTCATCATCAGCGCCTTGTTGTACCCGCCCTCCTTCTTCTCGATCCGGGTAATAGGCGAGCCGGCCACGCGAGGCAGCGCGGAGACCATACGGCAGAGTTTGCGGACGTCAAAGGGTGAGTACCGTTTCGCCAGCTCGTATCCCTCGTTGACGAGGAAGCGGCCCTTGTTGTACCTGAACAAATCCTCCTCGGTCGCTGGTTTGCCTGAGTCGGTCAGCGTTGTCCTGAGATGCGGCTGGTGGAGGGGTCTCATACCATTGGCATAGAGGGATACCCGTCGACGAGGGGATGAAAATCTGTATCCAAGGGAGAAGCAGCGGTTTGGGCTTAACCTGCCCATTCTGAGCTGTCATCTGGTTTGTTGCTTCTTGAGCAGCGACATCGATGGTCGATGGAGATAGGTGACCGACGACGTCATGGTTGTGCCAGCATCACGACATCGGGGGCCCCCTCGTTGTATGTCTTGCCTCCAGTACATGCAGACAGATATTCCCATGTATACAGACTACTATACCAGTTCACGTCGGCGATGTAAATGCAAGGCGACCGTAGCTTCATCTCAATTCAGCTCATACACTGGCATGGTCTCATCGACATTACTCGTACAACCCGAAGTTCAAGCGATTGGTCATGTGAAGATGACGATCAAGATGGTCTGGACAGGGATTATTGCAGATCAGTAATAATAATAATAGTAGTAGCGTCTTGGAACTCTTTCTCCCTATCTCAAGCCTAAATGGGTAAGAGGACGCGCACTGAGGAACAAGAGGGTCGAATACGAACGAGGCTGCATCCGATCCAGCGGGAATAGCATTCGATGTGTAAATAAACTCGATTCTATCAAGAATAGACTTTTACGGAGTATTTAGTTGATGAATCCGAGCCACATGGTAGTTGGGTACGAGTTCGACAGTTCGACTCCACCCCAAGGAGCAGGACTGATCTGCCCCTGAATGAGTTTATTCCCAGGATATCAACAGTACAAGGATTTCGAACCAAAACAGCGACGGTCCAGCTCGTCGGCGACCTGAGAGGTGATCACAACACTATTGTGGTTGCTAGCCTATTAAGGACATGGCCGGAAAGATTCGCTGGCCAAAGGTCAAGGTAATGATGATCAGCAAGGTGGCTGGCCACGCTAAAAGAATACGGCAGTATGGAGTACCTCTGGTAAGGGTAAGGAGGAATAAGCATGATAATAAGGATGACCAGAATAATCAGAATGCGAACGATGGAAACAAAGGATCGATATGCTCCGATTGGGTATATGTATGGATAGATGGGTGGAAGAATAATGGATTCTGCAGGATCACTCTAGTGGTACTTTGTACATCCACATTACGGGTATGCAGAGACTTGAGGCTATCATCCTGCAACATGTACCAAAGTCCATGACTCGGTCGAGACTCCATAGGGGAAAAAAGTGAGACACTGTGGACCATTTCGTAGTGTTTAGTAGTGTTAGGGTTCGGGCATGCTTTCCCCCAATGAGGATGATTCTCGGTCTGTAGCGGCCTAGAAGCACTGCGCTGTGGCAATTGGTAATAGAGGATGATCTGATCTAAGCGGTTGTACTTTGTTGAGAAGAAATTTGCTCCAGGAACAATATGAACTAAGTGGGCTGGTTGTCGCTTGAAACACCCACCGACCCACTGACTAAAGTGTCAATGCACTCAGCGTTTGACTTTTGGCGGGAAAGCATAATGCTCTTATGCCATTGCCTTTTGGGATAGTGACTAATGTAATCTCAGCAGATTCTGTTAACTATTCGAATTGACGTGCATAATCTAAATACCCCTGTCGTTTCTAGAAACCAAGAAAACTGCCCGCTCAGGCCTTGACTTCTACGGGTAGTCAGCCTCTCTACAGGCACGAACTTACGGCTTGTGCCGATTAGGCAGACTTCAATCAGAAACCTCTACTGACATTACTGGATGTTTTATAGGCTCGCTCCGTACTCCACAGTTGGTTAGTAGTCTACTGGCCAGTCTAGGACTGTACAAAGCAGTGTAAATGGCAAGTGGCAATGCCCATCACTACGAACGGACTCTGCACGGAGCAGACTAACAAAAACGGACTACGGCTGGAGAGAGACTAACCCTGCTAACAGCCAAGTGCCAATTGGTGACAGTGTCAAAACTGCCAAAACTCTCCTGGGACGCTAGAATGCCCGATCAAGGTTAGAAGTTCCAGAATAGGAGACTATTCTCCTATTCTGTTTTCTATTTCCTCGGTTGTGGTGCTGATGGTGCGGAGTGGGACTACGTTGGGAGTAGCCTCTTCTCAGTATATATGAATCAATTATTTCCCACCACACCCCCCCCCTCCGCCCTCCACCTGCCTCGATTGCATTAATATCAACATGCTTAAGCCAGCATGAACGCTACGAGCAAAGATGACCGCAGCCTCGAGGTCAAGGTCGTTGCGGCCGTCTTCTTGGCCATAGCCTCGGTAACCGTGATTCTGCGATGCTATGTGCGATTATTTCTGGTCAAGGCGTTTGGCTGGGACGATGGCGCTATGGTCATTGCGCTGGTATGCCTTCCTCTGATTTACCTCTCTCGGAAATGCTTGAGCTGACCCTGATCCTGAACCCTTAG